TCCCTTTGTTTCAAATAAAAATGTGTATCTTCAGGATATTCTAGAATGAATGAGGTAATCTATAAATAATTGATATTCATAAACGCTGTCTTGCCCATATAAGGGATATTACAGAACCCCTGTTGATTACCATCTACTTAAAGCTATTTTTCTAACAAATTTGCATGGCTTCATTTATGTTCTTTCACCCTCTGGTCTCATATATTTTTTAGTCTAATAAAGGCCCCAGTTGTGGTGTGTGTGGGAGGGAAGGGGAGCAGCTGACAGCAGACGTTGATGTTAACTAGCCTTTAGACATAGTGAAAGATGAAAATTCTGTATTGATATCAAGCCTCTATTCCTCAGAATACCACAAAATGCCTTTCATTCCTTCTTCCAATTTGTGTAAAATATCTAAGTAATGAAACTAAAATTCTTCACCACACAGCAAAAGGTTGGGCCAGCCCTGTGCAGCCTTAACCCTTCCTCTGGCTTCCTGTGAAACTCTTTGTGAAAGCATTTTGGGGAATATTCATATCTCCCCTCTCCCGACCCCACCCCGAGACAGAGTTTCGCTCTTGTTGCCCAGCCTGGGGTGCAATGGTGCAATCTCGGCTCACTGCAACCTCCGGGTTCAGGCAATTCTCCCACCTCAGCCTCCTGAGTAGCTGGGATTACAGGTGTGCACCACCACACCTGGCTAATTTTTTTGCATTTTTAGTAAAGATGGGGTTTCACCATGCTGGTCAGGCTGGTTTCAAATTCCTGACCTCAGGTGATCTAACCAACCTGGCCTCCCAAAGTGCTAGGATTACAGGCGTGAGCCACCGCGCCCAGCAGAATATTCATATCTTAAACACACTGCTCTACACAGAGAGGAAAGGACAGTCCTCTGAAAAAGCAGTAATAGTGAGTGAGAAAAGATTCTAGATGCTCTTCTAGCATAACTCTGACAGCTTTGCAAACCAGCATAAATCTTCCCACCGTCTCCAAGGGGAGGGACAGTTGGCAGGGCACCAAGAGGGGCAGTGCAGTGCATGTCCTCTCACGTAGGCCGCCATGTTTTCTCTCAACACTCGTCAGCAGAACCCTGGGAGGCTGGGAGGAGGCTGTCCCCGACATAGTGAGGGCAGACAGTTATTCCCTAGGGCCAGTCACATCTCCTTCCCTCTTCCTCCCCTGTCCTCTCCTCTGGGAACATTTAGGGGATGATTTCTTTCAAATGGAAGGACATAAAGCTTAAGAGATCTCTGAGCCTTTTGAAGTAAAAGAGGCCTGATATTTCTCACAGGGTCCACTAATCTCTGCTCTCAGAACAACACCCTTTTTGAGAATGGTCCTGTAACTTCACTGGTACCAAGTCTTACCAACTAAGCTCTGTGGCCAGTGTTCAAAGTGTACACCGAATTCTTAAAGGCCTCCATCATTTCTTTTTACATTATGAAGATAGAATTTGAAATGAATTGAGTCTCTACCTTAGATGTCCTCTTTTCATTAACAGACAGGCACTAAGAAACAATTTTTTCCAGGATGTGTGGGATCCAAAAATCTATTCTGAGTGAACAAGTTTATTCTTAGCTGTATGTAATTTCCCAAAGTGGAGAAACAACTTCTGTTCATCGTCTGCAGCCATGAGACCGGTTCTGCCAGCAGGTCTTTCTATAAACATTTACTAAAGTATCTATATATTTGCCTGCAGACTGCAAAGGGGAACTTTGGGGAAGAGCAAATAAATTGCCCTTAAATAAAAGTGGAGATGTAACTGGGTTCCACCAGGCTTTGAACACCATGACCATCTGAGCTCTGGACCACAGGCAAACAGCCAGGCCAGTTGACTCTGCTCAAAACCTGAGGTGTGTGTCTATGCAGGCAGGGCTGTCTGCATTCTACTGCTGAGTGACCAGCGCCAGAGGAGTAGGATGGGTCTGAGGCAGACACAGAGAGCTTTATCTCCATTTCCTCTCCCTGGTGCCAAAGAAGACCTAAGTGAGGTGTGCCCCTTCACACATCATTCATCCCCTCACACCATGGAACTTGAAGCAGGAGGGATCCCACCCAGTACAAGGAAGTCTGGCTGAGCAGTTGAAGGAGGGATGCAAGGCTGCATTGAGAATTCAAATAGTCACAAGACAGATTTTAGTTCTTAGATTTCCCCAGGTGCTGGGTTACTCAGAATCCATCACCAGGTTAGATTTGCTAGCCGTTCTTGATCCACAACCACCACCCAAGCACTCAGATCTAGGCAGCATTGCTGTCAGAGAGGAAAGTAACCCTGTGGCATTTGCGACTCTGTGAGACTCCAGATATTGACAAAGAAAATGCTGATGGCAGCACCAGCAGACCTTCAAGGCCAGAACAGAGCCACGTGGAGCACATGTGCAGATTCAATCACCACGATCCCGCCCTCTCTTCTTGGACTTGCTTTGTCTTTCTGCTTTACCTTTTGTTCCTTTTCAATAAACCTGACTCTTCTCATAAATCTCTGCGTCCTTTAAATTTTTCATATTTATCTTCTTCACTTTGCTCACCTTTTAAATCCACCCTTTAAGTCCTAGATTCTCCCCTTTCCTCCTTTTGTCCCAAACCCTCCCTGATGTCCCCTCATCTTCATGCTCTGTGTGCAATAAAACTTTCATCTGTGGACCAATCACGCACACAATTAGAGGTATAAGCACGGCAGATATAAGTATGAGATGGGCAGCACAAGCCACCTTAAAACTCATTCTATTTATTGAGTTTCTCTCAAATGCTAAAACTTCTGAAACACAACACAGCTACTTAAGAGAACACCAGAGAAGAAAGACACTAAAGAAGTGTGGATAATTGAAGTGGGTGAAGTAGCCCTCACTAGCAAGCTATTCAATGAAAACAAGTCAGCTAACAAGCCTAAAATAAGTTTTGGCATTTTTAATAAACATTTTTTGTCTGATTTTTATGGGGATATATGTATGCCCAGAGAAAAGGACAAGATGACTTTTAAAACTTAGATAATAAAAGCAGACCATAGATTGAGGAGCCTAGTAGAATTTTTTTGGCAAACATTTTGTTCTTTTTTTTTTCTTTTTTTTTTTTTGAGACAGAATATTTGCTCTGTCACCCAGGCTGGAGTGCAGTGGTGCAATCTAGGCTCACTGCAACCTCCGCCTCCCAGGTTCAAGCGATTCTCCTGCCTCAGCCTCCCAAGTAGCTGGGATTACAGGCACATACCACTGTGCCCAGCTAATTTTTGTATATTTAGAGACAGGGTTTCACCATATTGACCACGCTGGTCTTGAACTCTTGACCTCATGATCTGCCCACCTCGGCCTCCCAAAGTGCTGGGATTACAGGTGTGGGCCACCATGCCCAGCCTCAATTCTTAATCTCTAATATTATACCCTGAGTATAAGTGTTGCTTGAATGTCAGTTTTTTTTTTTTTTTTTTTTTTTAACAGAAAATCGGCATGACATCCCATTTGGCCAGGCACGGTGGCTCACACCTATAATTGTGAGCCATTTGGGAGGCCGAGGCGGGCAGATCATGAAGTCAGGAGTTCAAGACCAGACTGGCCAACATAGTGAAACCCTGTCTCTACAAAAAACAAAACAAAAAAAAATCGGCTGGCTAGCCCCCATTCCAGTGGACACATTCTTTTGCTAAAAATGTTAATGACATTGTTGTAAACACCAGGTCATTAAAAAAAAAAAAAAAAAAGGGAGAACAGGGCCAGGTGGGTTTGGTGGCTCATGCCTGTAATCTTAGCATTTTGGGAGGCCAAGGTGGTAGGATTATTTGAGGCCAGGAGTTCAAAATCAGCTTGGGCAACATAATGAGACCCCATCCCTACAAAAATGTAAAAAAACATATTAGCTGGGTGTGGTGGCATGTGCCTATAGTCCCAGCTATTTGGGAGGATGGCTTGAGCCCAGGAGATAGAGGGTGCAGTGAGTTGTGATCACACCACTGCACTCCAGCCTGAGAAAGTGAGATCCTGTCTCAAAAAAAAAAAAAAAAAAAAAAAGCTAATCCCCTATCAGGTTAAGGTTAAGCCCCACAGACCTGGAAGCCAGTATCTTTAAGGTGAAATTGCACAACTCGTCCAATATGCTGATTTTAGTTAAACACATTTTTCCTGGCTGGGCACAATGGCTCATGCCTATAATTCCATCCCAGCACTTTGGGACGCCAAGGCAGGCAGATCGATCATCTAAACCCTGGAGTTTGAGACCAGCCTGGGAAACATGGCAAAACAACATCTCTACCAAAAAAAAAGCCACACATGGTAGCATGTGTTGATAGTCCTATCTACTCAGGAGGCTGAGACAGGAAGATTGCATGAGCCTGTGAGGTCAAGGCTACAGTGAGCCATGATCATACCATCATACCACCAATACTCCAGCCTGGGCAACAGAGCAAGATCCTGTCTCAAAAAAAAAAAAAAAAAAAAAGAAAGGCTGGGTGTGGGTGTGGTGGCTCACACCTGTAATCCCAGCACTTTGGAAGGCCGAGGCGGGAGGAGTTCAAGACCAGCCTGGCCAATACAATGAGACCCTGTCTCTACTAAAAAATATTTTAAAAATTAGCCAAGTGTGGTGGTGCCCGTCTGTAATGCCAGCTACTTGGGAGGCTGAGGCAGGAGAATTGCTTGAACCCGGGAGGTGGAGGTTGCAGTGAGTGCGCCACTGCACTCCAGCCTGGGTGACAGAGTAAGACTCTGTCTTAATAACTTTTTTTTTTAATTAGAAATTAAAATTAAAAAAACACATTATTTTGTTTAACTTAAGGTTTTCTTAAAACGTTCGTGAGTTTTCCAGATTTCAAACTGAGAGTCATTAGTGAGCCTTCTCGCTCCTGGGCCAAATACCCGAGCAGAGGCAACAAGATTTTCAGGGAAAGTGATTGGCTTCGGTGTGCTCTTCTGTGGCATTATCATCCCCAGGAAAGCAAAACCAGCTTATAATCAACATATCATCATAAAAGGTGCAATTAGCTCTACCAGTAGTTCAATGTCCAAAGGCTCAGAGAGAAACTGCCATCATACCTTCACTGCTTTGGGAGGAGAACTTTCAGAAAGACTGGAGGCTCTGGCATCTGGACTTAGTGGCTTGGGATGGACAGGCTGTTGAACCTCACTCTTAACCTGGAAGTTACCTGCTTGAGTTATAAAAGGAAGACATTTTATATGTATTTTCATGGAAGTCTTGGAAAGTGTTCCAAGGGAAGTCTTGGAAAGTGTTCTTCTAAAAAGCAAAGTTTGGGCACTTTCACTGATGACAGATCCTTCCAACACCAGGGAAAACACTGCTTTTCTGCTGAAGAATATTTGAACACTAACAACCACGGCTCAGGTTTTCTCTGGTCCTCTCACAAATCAGGTTCTCAGTGAGGAGGCTTTCTTACGCCCTGTCACATGGAGCAGAAATCCAAACCACTCTGCATAAAGAACTTTCTTCCTTGTATCATTTGTCAGTTTTAAAGGCCATTTATAGACTTGGATGTCTTTTTGGTCATTAACATTCCTAATAACTTCTTCTGAAGTGTTTAAACCGAAGTTGGAAAAAGGGGGAAATTTGAGGGCAGAAATTTTGTACGGTGTGTGTGTGTGTGTGTGTGTGTGCGCGCGCGCGCGTGCACGTGCACATGTGCAGTTGTGTGCGCACGTGTGCATACATTTGTGTATGCATGTAACCTGACACTGTGTTTTTGGTCAGCTCTATAGCAGATGTCCATGGATGAAGATTATGGAAAAGGGCTCCATGAAGTTTTTTTCATAATCATTGAAGTGCCAACTGCATGAGTTACTTTCCTGCCAAAATGAAGAGGTGAGTCAACAAAGTACTAAAATATTAAGGCTTATTTTTCAAAAAAATGTTTCATAAACCTAGTCAAAACTCAGAAACATTTCTAGTCCAAGAAAGAAAAATTGCAAAAAAGGAATGTTTCTGGATTCAGGCAGAAGGAGTTTTTCCTGAAATTTTAAGGTAGGGTTTACTAGAAATCTGTTTAACTCATACTTCTATTATAGTTGTGGGGTTTTCAGTGTCCAGTAAACTAATTAGCCTGGGGAGAAGCTAAAAATCCACATATTTATATTTTCTTTTTTGTCTTGTGACCTGTAAGAAATCCATATCCATATATATATATATATTTTTCTTCTGTTTTGTTTTGTTTTGTTTTCCAGATGAAGTCTCACTGTGTCACGCAGGCTGGAGTACAGTGGCATGATCTCGGCTCACTGAAACCTCTGCCGCCTGGGCTCAAGTGATCCTCCTGCCTCAGTCTCACAAGTAGTTGGGACCGCAGATGCATGTCACCATGCCAGCTAAGTTTTTGTACTTTTGGTAGAGATAGGGTTTCACCATGTTGCCCAAGCTGGTTTTCAACTCCTGAGCTCAAGTGAACCACCTGCCTCAGCCTCCCAAAGTACTGGGATTGTACAGGCATGAGCCATAATGCCTAGCAAACACACACACACACACACACACACACGTCTTAGAACTCCTGACCTCATGATTCACCCGCCTCCCAAAGTGCTGGGATTACAGCATGAGCCACCATGCCCAGCCCAGTCAAATATATTTTTAAATGGGCTGAGCATGGTGGCTCACATCCGTAATCTCAACACTTTGAGGATGAGGTGAGAGGATTGCTTGAGGCCAGGAGTTAGAGATCAGCCTAAGCAACATAGTGAGAACTTGTCTCTACAAAAATATTAAAAAGTTAGCTGGGTGGTGGTATGTGCCTATAGTCCTAGCTATTTGGGAGGCTGAGGTGGGAGGACTGCTTGAGCCCAGGAGTTTGAGGCTGCAGTGAGCTATGATCATACCACTACACTCCAGCCTGGGCAACAGAATGAGACACTCTGTCTCTAAAAAATAAAAATAAAAAGATATACTGAAAATCAGAATTAGAAGTGGACATAGTCAAGTAAAAAAAAAAAAAAAACACACAAACATTTTTGTCTTTGGGAAAAGGGAGGGTCAAAATGACTCCAAAATAGAATGAAAGGTGACAAAATTCATTGTCAGCAGGAAAATGTCTAGAACCTGGCTAGGAGGTGGACTATAGTATACATTTAGATAAACAGGGAAAATATATATCCTTAACAGATTACTCGTATACTTATTCATTAAAGAATAGGTATTTATGAATAAAATTCTAAATGAATAAAATCCTTATTGGCCAAACTTCTGTTAAAATGAAACTTCAGGCCGGGCATGGTGGCTCATGCCTGTAATCCCAGCACTTTGGGAAGCTGAGGTGGGTGGATCATGAGGTCAGGAGTTCAAGACCAGCCTAACCAACATGGTGAAACCCTGCCTCTGCTAAAAATACAAAATTAGCTGGGCACGGTGGCACACGCCTGCTGTCTCAACTACTTAGGAAGCTGAGGCAGGAGAATCACTTGAACCCAGGAGGCAGAGGTTGGAGTGAGCTGAGATCGTGCCACTGCCCTCCAGCCTGAGTGACATCTCAAAAGTAAATAAATAAATAAAATGAAATGAAACTTCAAAATTAGTTTATACAGCTTTAACTCTGACAGGGTTTGGTGCAAAAGGTAGGATAAATTCAATGAGAAAAGCATTAAAAGTATTCAGTTTGTCCCAAGTTAACAATATTTAATTGAATTTAACTTCTCCCTAAGCCATAAAGTATGTAAAGGATATTCAAGCATCAGCCCTTAAATGCAAGTGGAGGACTTAGTATGTTATTTTCTCAGCACTGACAGTAATGGGAACACCCCGGAACGAAATACAGATAGAAAACAAGAACCTCAACCTCCAGGTCTAAGAAAGAATGCTTACGGGAGTCATCTTCAGCAGGGGTGGAACGGACGGCCAGGCTATTCTCAGCTGCAGAAATCTACAAAAAAAAAAGGGGGGGGAGTGAGGTGGGGTGGGGGGATTAAGAGTCATATTAAAAATAAAAGAGCAAACTGCTGTTAATGCAATAAAAACCTGCTGACTCCAGTCAGTCACTGGCTGCCTGGGGGAAATAATGGGCACCAGAACAGCTGAGCATTTAAACAAGAGGCAGCAAAATGTCTTTTATGAGGATATTAACATGCCTCTCAATTACAGAGTAATTCGAGAAACAGACTGCACTCAACTGCCAAAAGTGTGCATCATCTCCCTTTATAAAAGAACTTCTAAACCATATTTTTCCGCTCTCCAAAAACAAAGCAAAACAAAGCCCTCTATCAAGGAGAGCAAAGCTCCTCACCATATAACCATAACTCACTCCAAGGAAAGATAAAATATTTAAATATACAAACTATTCTTATTTTTTAATTTTCCTAGTTCTTATTTCCCAACCAAATACATCCTGCTGAAACGAGCCTGCCCATATAGAAGACCTTTTCATAGTTATAAAACAAATTTACCTATAACTAACCTCAGTATTATCTTCAAGGATAGCTTCCCTATTAATCCCAGTCTCAAAATGGCAATGTTTAACAAGATGGCAGATCTTATGTATAGGTGTATATATCTTTTTCCCAAAAGCCATCAAATTTAGATAAAAGAACTCTCTATTAGAGCTCTCCTTCCTTTCCACTGGCCCTCACGCCTTCCTGGTGTCATATTCCACATCCAAAATCATGAAGAGTCAACAGGTGGCCCAAATGTATACTCTTCACATAATTTTCTTTCATTCAGATGCCATGGATTTTATGGGCAATGCTGAGTATTTATATCAGGATGTATGACAAACTGAATAGATTTACAATGAAGATTAAGTTGCTGGCTGACTGCACCTGAATTTCTGCATAATCCTTTTTTCTACCACTCTCTTCATTACAGGAATTCTGACATGCCATAAAACAAACCAGTATGATTACAGTCAGTATTTATTGGGTGTTTACTATGTGCCATGTATTCAGCTGATCGCCTTACAAATGCACTATTTTATCTAATATGAAATAAATTTTCTGAAAGTTGTGCATGCCTACAAAAAGCTCTTCAGTTCTTGAGAATTAGTAGGTATATCCAACCCAGGATGTTCTTCTCTCACCTCTAATTTGGTCACCTTGAATCTGTGTGTTAAACTTTGCTTTTTTTTTTTTTTTGTGATGGAGTCTTCCTTTGTCACCCAGGCTGGAGTGCAGTGGTGCGATCTCAGCTCACTGCAACCCCTGCCTCCTGGGTTCAAGAGATCCTCCTGCTTTAGCCACCCAAGTAGCTGGGTGTCCACCACCACACCTGGCTAATTTTTGTATTTTTAGTAGAGATGGAGTTCCACCATGTTGGCCAGCTGGTCTTGAACTCCTAACCTAGGTGGTCCACCCGCCTTGGCCTCCCAAAGTGCTGGGATTACAGGTGTGAGCCACTGCGCCTTGCCCTGTGAGGTAAACTTAATGTTAATCATGACATCATTCACATGGCCAATCAGATGACTTCACTGTAGGAACAGCCATGTGGGAACATAAGAAATTTTGCTCAAACATTTCATTAAAGCACAAATTCATTCACAAGAGGAGAAAGGGAAGATCAATACCTTGAAAAAATATTCAATTTCAAGCAGATTTCCTCTAGCATTAATGTCCTTTTTTTTTTCCTGAAGATTAAGTTTTGCTCTATTGTCGAAGCTGGAGGGCAGTGATCTTGGCTCACTGCAACCTCTGCCTCCCAGGTTCAAGCAATTCTCCTGCCTCAGCCTCCTGAGTAGCTGGGCTTATAGGTGCCCACCACTACACCTGGCTAATTTTTGTATCTTTAGAAGAGATGGGGTTTCACCATGTTGGCCAGGATGGTCTCCAACTCCTGACCTCAGGTGATCCACCCACCTTGGCCTCCCAAAATGCTGGGATTACAGGCATAAGCCACTGCACCAGGCCAATGTCCTTTTCTTTAACAGGCCGAAGTTCAAATAACACTTACGTATTGGTTAACAAAAGTGAGGCAAATAGCTAAGGATAGCTAAGGCTCTGAAAAATATTGCGAATTTTAAGGCAGCCAAGGGTTTATAAAGACAATACATATCTGCAGCATGTGCTTGAAGATATGTATTGTCTTTATCTTTCTTCCTCACCCACTTCATGATTCAGCTGCACTAATGTCCTTTTAGACTATAATTAAAATGTTCTAATCTTCCAGTTCAGTTCAGAGTTCCAGTTTCAAATCAGCATGAAGACAATGAAAAAGGAAACATGAATTTAGCCATAGGAACAATTCAAGCATTATTTCCCAAATGACTGTTTCCCAAACTATACTCCTGGGATAAAAATGGGGATATTTCAATGCTGGGAATATTTTTCTCTTAAAATTTCTTTCCTTTTCTTTTCTCTCTCTCTTTTTTTTTTTTTTTTTTTTTTACAGTATATAAGAAAAATTCCAAACATATTTAGTCAGTATTTAGTCAGTTATTCTCTCTCTTTTTTTTTTTTCTCACCTGGTGCAGGTGGGCTAAGGCTGAAAAGGGCATTAGCGCAGTTATTCTTATTCTTTTTTTTTTTTTTGGCGCGATCTCGGCAACCTCTGCCTCCTGGGTTCAAGTGGTTCTCCTGCCTCAGACCCCCAAACAGCTGGGATTTCAGGCATGTGCCACCACACCCAGCTAATTTTGTATTTTTATAGAGACAGGGTTTCACCATGCTGGTCAGCCTGGTCCAGAACTCCTGACCTCAGGTGATCCACCTGCCTCAGCCTCCCAAAGTGCTGGGATTACAGGCGTGAACCATCGGGTCCAGCCTAGCCAGTTATTCTTAAGAAATAATCTCCCACTTAAAACATGAGAAAACAAGACAGTTTAACAAAATAACTCACTTAATACATGACATGTGCCCCATAGGCTAATGCCTGAGTCCACTGTTCCAAGAATGTATGCAATTTATGGGTGATTATTCGACCATGTAACACACGACAGCCAAATATTTTGTCTTTTTATTCCAACATACGTTGTGCTGTATAAAATAATTTATTCTAATTTTTTTTTCTGTTCTGGTCTTTGAATCAAATTTTGTAGCCATCAGCCTCAGACCATTTTTCTATGGGCCTACTTTGATCCAAGTGTGTGGCATAGCTCATGAGTTCCTGCTAGTACTCTAACAATACACCGTCCTACTTTGTAAAGTCTGTTGTAGTCAAATAAGTTTGAGACAGGGCGCAGTGGTTCATGCCAGTACTTTCAGCACTTTGGGAGGCTGAGGCTGGGGGGATCGCTTGAAGCCAGGAGTTTGAGACCATTCTAAGAATTTCAGCAAGACCCTGTCTCTACAAAAAATAAAGATAAAAATAAATTAGCCCAGCATGGTGGCACACACCTGTAGTCCCAGCCACTTGGGAGGCTGAGGCAGAAAGATCACTTGAGCCCAGGAGTTGGAGGCTATAGTGAGCTATGATCACACTACGGCACTCCAGCCTGGGCAACAGAGCAAGACCTCGTCTCTTAAAAAAATAATAATAATAATAATAAACACAAGCCAGGTGCGGTGGCTCACGCCTGTAATCCCAGCACTTTGGGAGGCCAAGGCAGTTGGATCACAAGGTCAGGAGTTCAAGACCAACCTGGCCAACACGGTGAAACCCTGTCGCTACTAAAAATACAAAAATTAGCTGGGCGTGGTGGTGGGCACCTGTAATCCCAGCTACTCGGGAGGCTGAGGTAGGAGAATCACTTGAACCTGGGAGGTGGAGGTTGCAGTGAGCCAAGATTGCATCATTGCACTCCAGCCTGGGCGACAAGAGCAGAACTCTGTCTCAAAAATAATAACAAAAATTTTAAAAGAACAAACAAATTCCAACTAAGCTTGAGAACTATTGCTCTTAACCCATTTTAATGATCTCCATATCTTCTGGAAGAATAGCATTATGGTGTCAATATGTGTAACAGAAGCAATGGCTTTTCTCCTAAGATTAGATCACTGTAATAGACTTGAAAACCCTTTCTCCTCATCTCATTTAACATTTGATTATCATATTGACTGAAAGACTAAAAGCACTGGACAATGGGCAACAGTAGAGAACATGATAAATTCCCCTGACACAAATATTGTTACTTATTTCAATTAAGCCATTCATCTAATGATTAATACATAACACACAAATATGATTTGCTTAAAATCTTTCAGTGACTTTCTCCTGCTTCACAACTATATCCAAACTCTTCAGGGTGGCATATAAAGATTTTCCAGACCTTACCCTGGCCCTCTCCTTCTGCCTGTCTCTCACTGCTGCCTATGTGTCCTCATGCTCCAGCCAAGCCAGCAAACCTATAATTCTGGCTGGGCAAGGCGGCTCACGCCTATAATCCCGCACTTTGGGAGGCTGAGGCGGGTGGATCACTTGAGGTTAGGAGTTTAAGACCAGCCTGGCCAACATGGTGAAACCCCATCCTTACTAAAAATACAAAAAATCAGCCAGGTGTGGTGGTGTGCAACTATAATCCCAGTTACTTGGGAGGCTGAGGCACGCGAATCACTTGAACCTGGGAGGCGGAGGTTGCATTGAGCCAAGATAGCACCACTGCACTCCAGAGTGGTAGGCAACAGAGCGAGACTCCACCTCCAAACAAACAAACAAACAAACAAACAAACAAAAAATCCCTGTAATTCCTCAGTAAGCTGTCATCTCCAGTTTCTAAACCTCTGTTGTATCTGCCTGGAATATGCTTCTATCTCTAACTCAACCTTCCCCTTATTCACTTGGCCTACTTCCACACATCATTCTTCAAGACTTGGCTCAGACATTACCTTCTTGAGGAAGTCAGGTTAAATGTCTTTACTCTGAGTTTCTGCGGTCCTGTAGACCCCTCTCACAGCCTCACAGGACCTGTCATACTTTTTTATGATAGCCCACCTATTGTTCATCTCTCCTGTACTGTTTCCTTGCACATAAAGACCACATGGAATGATTTGTCAATAAGTTTTTCAGCTTATTTCCTATGCTTACTTAGCATAGTGACTGCCTTTCAAAATAATATCAGTGAGAGAGTAAGATTTTCTTGCATAAAATGTGTTAAATGTATACATAAGAATATATGAGTATCTGAAGATAATCTCTAATCAAATAGATTTTCATTTTTATAAATTATTTTTCCCAGGAGCATAGACTCACGTTGCCCTAAATCCATGCTCTCCCAAATAGATTTTCACTTTATTTTATTTATTTATTTATTTATTTTTGAGACAGAATCTCACTCTGCTGCTCAGGCTGGAGTGCAGTGGTGCAATCTCGGCTCTCTGCAACCTCCACCTCCCGGGTTCAAGTGATTTTCCTGCCTCAGCCCCCCAAGTAGCTGGGATTACATGCGTGCACCACCACATCTGGCTAATTTTTATATTTTTAGTAGAGACGGTTTCACCATGTGGGCCAAGCTGGTCTCGAATTCCTGACCTCAGGTGATCCACCTGGCTCGGCCTCCCAAAGTGCTGGGATTACAGGCATGAGCCACTGTGCTCAGCCTCCAAATAGATTTTTAAAAATCACTTCAGCTCTATGCCTTCTGAGCATCTGCTGAGCAAAATAATTTTCCAATGAAGGCTCATTATTTGGTCAGCTATAAGTTGCAGAGCTCCTCAACCAAAATTATGTGACCTGCAAAAATGACAATCTGTCCTGGCAGCTGTTACCAAATTCCCAGACACTCTACAGCCTAGAGTTACAGTTGTTACTAATTTTAAGCATTTAATTTAGAACACATGCTTCCTTGGCAACTGGACGTCAGACTTTTCAACCTACCTTTTCTCCTTCCTGTTGGGTGATGCAGACCTCAGGACTTGGGGGCACATTCTCCTTTTGCTCCGTTTTATGAATTTTGATTTCGCCACCACTGGCTTTTAACTCATTCTACAAAATAAGAATAACTGTAAAAATTTTCTTAAAGTCTCATCATTCTATTCTCTTCATAGCACGTCTATTAGATAAACTTGGAATGTTAAAAAAAAAAATTCTTCTAAGAAGCCTCAGGTCAAATCAACCCCCTAACTCTCACAAGCAAAACCCATTGACTTGTGAAATGACAAAAGCAGCTTTGTGGACACATACCTCAGAGTTAAATATTTGTATGCTAGACTAAAACTGGATTGCTCATTAGAATACAGACACATCAACACAGACACACAGAACACCCAAGCATACAACATTCTTGTGATTCACTCTTCTAGCAGCAGAGCTTGTGGTAATGCAAAGCTTGTGAGTTTTATCAGAAAAGACCATTCTGGAGCAGGGGAAAGGATATGCCAAGAGCCAATAATAGAAAATATACTGACCATATATATATAAATGCCCGGCCTGGAAAGAAAGACAGGGTTGATGTATACATATAAAAACTGAAATTATATTTAATGATACCATAAAGCAACCTTTTTTGTGGGACTTTCAAAAACATGTTTTTCACATACAATTCATATATTGTACTAAAGATATAACGTATTTTACTTCTTATAACAGGGCCTCAACATAAAAGTGCATGCATTTTATTGTCATAAGGAATAACCATAATTGCATTTTTTCCTTGCAAAGGACACTGGAGCAGAATATTACAACTAACTCATCTATTACATCTAAAATCAATATAGTGACTGGGTGCGGTGGCTCATGCCTGTAATCCCAGCACTTCGGGAGGTAAAGTGGGTGGATCACCTGAGGTCAGGAGTTTAAGACCAGCCTGGCCAACATGGTGAAACCCTGTCTCTACTAAAAATACAAAAAATTAGCTGGGCACAGTGACGCACGCCTGTAATCCCAGCTACTCGGGAAGCTGAGGCAGGAGAATCGCTTGAATCCAGGAGGCAGAGGTTGCAGTGAGCCGAGATGGTGCTGTTGTACTCCAGCCTGGGCAATAAGAGCGGAACTTCGTCCCAAAATAAATGAAGTAAAATGAAATGAAATGAAATAAAATAATAAAATCAACATAGAGGTTGATGACTATGGACATTTCCTAACATTAGTCTGCCAGTAATGTAGTAATCTAGTACATTTCTGTTCTCTGTGATTCTTTAGGCATGGGAGGAAACAATTTATGACCACAGGGCCAATGAAGGGAATGTGAGTATGATTGAGTCACCTTGGGATGGTATTCCAGATTATGGCCCACAGCTCTGGGGGTGCGTCTGTGAGAGGAGCTGGCAGCTAGCACTGCAGAGCAACATTGTAGCCCAGCAGCTCCTTCCATCTCCAAGCCCCACCTCCAGAACTGCTGCCAGAGAGTATGTGCCTTGTTACAACCATATTCTGTAAGGGGCCTGGGAAATTCTTTGCAGATGAGATAAAATGTACTTTTTACAAGAATTCCTGAAGACTTTTCAACTCTTAAAATCTCCAGAGCAGGAGAACTGTAATGCAGAAATTGTTAGGAGTTAAAAAAAAAAGTCACTCAACAGGTTTTCCCACATAGGGAGTCACCTCGTGGAATGCTTGCAGCAGGAGGGCGCTGAGGAGTAGCACAATCTGGTAACAAGAGGAAGTTCAGCTTCAGAGATCCCAACTTGCTGTCTCTCCTGCCCTGCCTTCTAAGAGAAATCTAAATTTGCTCACTTTTCACATTCACAGTGCATAATCAGCCCGTGATACTCCACTTTGCTAATTGATTTACACAATCATCTCTTCTTAAAACATAAAGTTGTTAACGTTACGGCTTAAAAACCAAGAGGAAATATTCATTGCCCAGAGAATTAGTCCACCAAATAGTATTGGAGAATGTATACTTAATCATGTGGGGAAGAGAAGGCTTAACTCCCAGAATACACATTATAGTTTCTAACATGCACCAATTTTGATCTGCCTAGGAACAAATACAATTCAATACTGTTCTGTTGATTTTGTTAAACAATTAGGACATCAAGAGATTAATGGTTTGTAATTTGAAATCTTAGGGCAAATGCTTGAAGGACACAAAAATATGTGTGTGTACATTTGTATCTATGTATGTATATATATGAATAAATAGCACTTAAAAGGTAACTTCTTTTTTTTGAGATGGAGTCTCACCCTGTCACCCAGACTGGAGTACAGTAGCTCTATCTCAGCTCACTGTAACTTCCGTCTCCTGGGTTCAAGCGATTCTTTTGCCTCAGCCTCCTAGTAGCTGGGATTACAGGTGTGTGCCACTATGCCCAGCTAAGTTTTTTTGTATTTTTAGTAGAGACAGGGTTTCACCATGTTGGCCAGGCTGGTTCCAAACTCCTGACCTCAAATGATCCGCCTCTCTCAGACTCCCAAAGTCTATGGGTGTGAGCCACGATGCCTGGCTAAAACGTAACTTCAATTAAGCAGTTCTATAGCGTCAGCTTGCCAGTTAAGCACAGGACAATGTAAAATGGAAAGACCCGCCATTGTATTTTGAATATCAGAATTTTTATGCTTACTGAGCACATCACCTTCTTGTGATTTCTCCCTTTTTCTTATCTACTATTCTACTTCTTTAGGAAAACAGTACATCATAAGGATTAAAGATTAAGTAGACCATCTATTGTATGACTGCTTCTTATGAAATTTCCATAATAGGCAGATACATAAAGACAGGAAGTAGATCAGTGGTTGCCAGGGGATGAGAGGAGGGGGAGTTGGGAGTGACTGCACAGGTATGGGGTTTCTTTTCAGGGTGATAGAAAGGTTCTGGAATTAAACAGTGGTAATGGTTTGACAACCCTGTGAATATGCTAAAAATGACAAAATTGTGTACTTTAAAATGGTGATTTTATGTGAAGTTATATCTCAGTAAAAAATTATTTTTAAAAAACTCTCATTAATAAACATAGCTGATATTTCTCTCTAGTCTTCTTTGTTCTTCCCTCCAAAACCAAAATAAACTCTCCAGTCTTCTTCCTTCTTCCCTCAAAAACCAAGATAAAATAAGAATTCTATTAAAACTAATAAAATATTACTTCTTTAACAACAATACAAACATTAAGTAGAAGAGCCAGAGACACTCTCAGTGATATTACTGACTGGTAACATCACAAAAAAAGCGAGTGCGCTGGGAATGAGGACTAAGAAAGCAAAGTCAGGATTAGACTACGGTAAGAATAGCAAATCCAGCGAGGATAGGGTTCATGTGAAAGAGAACAGCTAGGGCACCAGGACTCAGATGTAAGGATCTGGTCACATTTCCTAGTTCTAGTACTCAGTGACCATCTGCTGGATGGGAATGAGTGAATGAATGAATGAATGATGCAGAACACATACTGTATAGTTGGTTGAGCTGCTTTGTTTGGATACAGCTGCCTGGTACTTGGCCATTCGATCCTTTATAGAGGTTTCTGAGAGGCGTGGAAGTTCCAGATTTCGCCTACTCTCATTTTTCTCCGAGTTGAATGTAGAAGATGACAACTGACCTGGAAGCATCCAAATAACATGTTTTATTTTATTTCTGAGATGGGGTCTCATTCTATCACCCAGGCCAAAGTGCAGTGGCATGATCATAGCTCACTGCAGCCTCAAACTCCTGGGCTCAAGAGATCCTCACGCCTCAGCCTCCCAAAGTGCTGGGATTATAGGTGTAAACCACCATGACTGGCCAACACATTTTATTAGAAGATAAAAGTGATTCAAATAATTTCAAGATTCTAAATTTTGTGTTGTTATCTAATGGCCAATTTCTTCTAATAAAAGCACTAAGAAGAAAATCAGGAATATAATTGTCATTTCTAAAGTAATATTCATTCACTTTTTTTATTTTTTTTGAGCCAGGGTCTTACTCTGTCACCAGGCTAGAGCGCACAGGGCAGTGGCACGATTATAGTTCACTGCAGCTTTGAAGTCTTAAGCTCAAGTCATCCACACGCCTCAGCTTCCCAAGTAGCAGTGAGTTCACGGACGCACCACCATGCTGGGCTTTTTTCTTTTTTTTTTTTTTTTCTTCAGTAGAGACAGGTCTCACTATGCTGCCCAGGCTGGTTGCAAACTCCTGGGTTTAAGTGGTCCTCCTGTCTTAGCCTCCCCAAGTGCTGAAATTACAGGTCTGAGCCACCACCATGCCTGGCCCCATATTTTAAAATTTTGGGTAATTTAACATGAAAAAGAAGAGATCACAATGCCTTTTAATTTGCATTTCTTTGATTATTAGGTAGCTGATGATTTTCCTGTTTTTACTAATTTTTTATTTTGTGAAGTTCCTGTATATGTCCCCTTTAAAACATAATAATTCCACTCACAAAGTATTATCACTGGTAATACAGGGTAACAAAACTTGATAGGGGACACGGCCCATCTATGGAAGCCTGCAAACCCCAGATGACTGGAGCTGAAACTGATTGTAGCACTTTCCTTACAGCCCCTCAAAGTACCCTTTGGTTACCATAGGTTATCACTAACAAGGGTGGATTAAAAATACAAAAAAAGCGGAATGGTGGCTCACTCCTGTAATCCCAGCACTTTGGGAGGCCAAGGTAGGTGGATCACCTGAGGTCAGGGGTTCGATACCAGCCTGACCAACATGGAGAAACCCCGTCCCATCTCTACTAAAAATACAAAATTAGTCGGGTTTGGTGATGCATGCCTGTAATCCCATCTCCTCGGAAGGCTGAGGCACAAGAATCACTTGAACCTGGGAAACAGAGGTTGCTGTGAGCTGAGATCGTGCCATTGCACTCCAGCCTGGGCAACAAGAGTGACACTCTGTCTCAAAAACAACAACAACAACAAAAAAGAAGCTATTTATTGAATGCAATGAGAATTGAGAAGGGCTTACATCTAATAGGGAGACTTCCTTTTAATTTGTGCCACTCTTCCTTTAAAAGCATTGGCTTTGAGTCCAAAAGATGTTGCTATACTGAGTACTTCCTATAGGACCTCATACACATGGAACTCTCTGCTTACCTGGACCTATTTCCAGGTCATCCAGAGAATAGCTGTTTTCAGAGATCTTTCTTCCATTTGTACTTCGGCTTTGGGCTCGGAGAATCTGTTTGGAAAATGAAACCCAACAATAAGTTTTGCAGAAACGATGGGAAATTGTGATGCAAGGTTCAACTTGCAAACCTTCTTTATAAATAAAATACAGGTTCAATTTTATTTTTATCTTCCTTAGAATTTTTTTAAAATTTCCAGCTGGGTGCAGTGGCTCATGTCTGTAATTCCAGCACTTTGGGCGGCCAAGGCGGGTGGATCACGAGGTCAGGGGTTCCAGACCAGCCTGGCCAGGATGGTGAAACTCCGCCTATACTAAAAATACAAAAAATTAACCAGTTGTGGTGGCAGGCGCCTGTAATCCCAGCTACTTGGGAGGCTGAGGCAAAGAACTGCTTGAATCTGGGAGGCAGAGGTTGCAGTGAGCCAAGATCGCACCACTGTACTCCAGCCTGGGCAAACAGAGTGAGACTCCATCTCAAAAAAAAAAAAAAAAAAAATTACAAATATCAAGTGCTACATATCCACAGGTGCCCAGGGAAGAATAAGTAACTCTATATAAGTAACATTCTCTGCTAAAGATCACTTCCTAACCAGCAAGCTTTGTAACACTTATTGTAGGGGAATCCTCACATCCCAGATGACAATGAAATGTCCTTCCAAATTGCCAAGTCCTGATGCAGAATCTGCTGTTTCCTTTCTCCATCTCATGTTATCTCTGCTATTGCTGCCTTGGTTCATGTCTTCATCATCTTACCCCTGGACTACTTCATTACACGTCTTTAACTTGTTCTTCATTATCTTCCAATCCAGTCTCTATGACACTGCCATTATCCCCAAAATACAAAGTAATTATCCAAAAATATAAACCTATTTTACTCTCCTGGTCAAAATTTTTCAGAATTCCCACTCACTTCTGAAATTAAATCCAAAGTGCTTAGTAAGTCACAGAAGTCCTGTTCTAGATCTGGTCCCTATCAAGCCAGCCTCCTTTGTCCTTCTGTTGTCTTGCAAATGCCTGTTTCTTCAAAGACTCAGTGTAAGCACTATGAAGTCTTGATTACCTCGCCAACATAAATTTAGGTAATCTTTCCTCTTTTCCCAAGGTACCTGGTCAAACTGTTGTGTGACTGTCCCTCTACTGCACTGTAAGCTCACTGAGAGCTGAGACGATGCCTTTTCGTCCATATATTTCCAGGACTTACAGAAAAGTGGATGGCACAGATTTAGCCTGGGTGACAGAGCAAGACTCTGTCTCACACACACACACACACACACACACACACACACACACACACAAAAAGAAAATGAAGATCATTGGTCAAGAGGAAAAGATATGTCTGGCAGGATACTCTCAATCTACATTTTTAATTTTTATTTATTTATTTTTTTGAGACAGAGTCTCTGTCACCCAGGCTGGAGTGCAGCGGTACAATCTCGGCTCACTGCAACCCCTACCTCCTAAGCTCAAACAATTCTCCTGTCTCAGCCTCCTGAGTAGCTGGGATTATAGGCGTCTGCCACCACACCTAATTATTTGTGTTTTTGGTAGAGATGGAGTTTCACTATGTTGGCTAGGCTGGTCTCAAACTCCTGACCTCAAGTGATCTGCCCGCCTTGGCCTCGCAAAGTGCTGGGATTACAGGTGTGAGCCACCGCGCCTGGCCCACATTTTAAATTTTGTTTCAACATACTTCTCATTTGCTGATCATTAAAATAAAGAAAATTCCACAGACTTATTCCAAATGGTGCTGCCCCAGAAGATAAACACTACAAAAATTAGAATTTTCAGGACTCAAAATGGGAGAAAGCCTGCTGATAAACTTCTTTTGAAAAACCAGAAGGAGCTGGGCACAGTGGCTCATACCTGTGATCCCAGTACTTTGGGAGACTGAGGCAGGTGGATTATTTGAGGTCAGGAGTTCGAGACCAGCCTGGCCAACGTGGCAAAACCCTCTCTCTACTAAAAATACAAAAATTAGCCGGGTGTGGTAGTGTGTGCCTGTAATCCTAGCTACGGGAGACAGAGGCAGGAGAATCGCTTGTACCTGGGAGGCAGAGGTTGCAGTGAACCAAGATCATGCCACTGCACTCCAGCCTGGACAACAGAGAGACACCCCATTTAAAAAAAAAAAAAAAAGGAAAAATCAAAAACAGGTTCTGCATTCTTAATACAGATATTTACTTTCTAACTAAGGTAAAGTTCAAGTACAATTCCAAGAATATGTGTTACATGTTACAACCTGCAGAGAGCTCAGCTTTCTGTCTAATTGGAGCTATACATCCTTCTCTGTCTTGCGTGAAGTCCCAGCACTGCTGTTATTGGGAGCTCAATCGTTTAGAACCAGAGCATACACCTTGCCAGGGCAGAAGCTTTCTTTGATTTTAAATGCATAAAATGTCCCATCTTTGCTAGGTTTTAATTTAAACTACTGGGTTAAATAATACCCCACTTCCCGCCACCTTCTGAAGGCTTTTGCTCCATGGGGATATCAAAACTCTGCATTAATTTCTTTCAAGTACTAAAAAAGTAAATGTGCAAAGCCATTTGGTCTCAGAGAAAAATAGGAAAACTGTCTCTGAAAATCCCTTATGCTGACTGTGGCTCTCAGGAGAAATACAGCTCTTAGGTAAGATGGGTTTTAATGATATCCCAGGTGAAGCACAGCATTACTTTCAATATCTTTCACCTCCAAACCACTCCAACATTAAGAATAACAAGGTTGGGCCAGGCATGGTGGCTCACACCTGTAATTCCAGCACATTGGGAGGCTGAGGCTGGTGGATTACCTGAGGTCAGACATTCAAGACCAGCCTGGGCAACCTGGTGAAACCCCGTCTCTACTAATAATACAAAAAATTAGCTGGACATGGTGGTGAATGTCTATAATCCCAGATACTCGGGAGGCTAAGGCAGGAGAATCGCCTGAGCTTGGGAGGCTGAGGTTGCAGTGTGCCACTGCACTGCAGCCTGGGCAGCAAGAGCTAAACTCCGTCTAAAAAAAATAAATAAATAAAAATAACAAAGCTGGGCATGGTAGCTCATGCCTGTAATCTCAGCACTTTTGGAGGCAGAGGCAGGAGGACTGCTTGAGGCCAGGCATTTGAGATGGGTCTGGGCAGCATGGTAAGACTCTGACTCTGCTTTAAAAAAAAAAAAAAAAAAAATTTAGCCAGGCATGGTGATGATGCCTGCAGTCCCAGCTATTCCAGAGGCTGAGGTGGAATGACTGCTTGAGTCCAGGAAGTTGAGGCTGCAGTGAGCTATGATTGTGCCACTGCACTCCAGCCTGAATGATATAACAAGACCTTGTCTCAAAAACAAACAAACAAAAAATGATCTCAAATCCACTGGAATTTTATAATCCACATTTTCCAAGTGGCAATCTGAGGTACAGGAATAAGGAGGGGTTTCCTCCAATATTTCTCAAGGAAGTAAAGGAACAACACACACACACACACACACACACACACACACACACACACGAATTCTGACACCAGAATACTCTTATCTAACAGGCTTTTATCACATTTTAGCTCTTTTTACTCAGACACTTGAGGGAGCCTTAATCATTCTAATGGCAAGGAAAGAGAGTAGACAAGACACTTTTAAGACTTTCTGGAATTTCCTAAGTCCTGGCCTCACCCCACCCGACAAGTCCTCCTTCCTGTCAGCTGACAAAACTCTGGTTAGTATGAACATCACTCAAATATTCTCTGTGAATCCATAAATCAAACGCACCAAGACGTACTAGTAAGAGGATAAAAGTTTGGGGCTTTTAGCTCGTAGTCTGTAGAATTTTTTTCCATATTTTTTAAAAAAGAAATAAAATAAGTTAGGTTCTAAATAAGTAACAAAGCAGGATTTCCTGTCCTTTCTACACCTATCTTCAGAAAAAGTTATCTTTAAAAGTTGATTCTCAACACTTTTTACTGAGTCCCCTACCTCACTTAGCCACTTCCTTTAACCTTTCAACTTCAACCTTCCTTTGGATGCTCTCATCTTGCCAAAGTCAAGGGCAGAGGGAAAAATGAAACTTTGCTGAACTATGCATAGGGATCGGGGCATAGATAAAAGCTAGCCTCCTCAATTTTCTCTCAAGACTCAAGACTTTAAGTCTTGAGAGAAAAATTTCTTTCTTCAGGAACTCTTAGAAAAAGAGTTCATGTAAGTAAAATAATACACATAGAAAGAGCTTTTAAACCACATGGTAGGATTTCTCTACATTTTCTGTATTTCCAAGCACTCTACAAATACTGTGTTAGTCTTATAATTAGGGAAAGAAAAAAAAGGAAGGAGAGATAACAAGTTATATCTATTAATTTAAGTAAACAAAAATGGTAAAACCAAACGCTAATGAAGCACTGGGGAATGTGTCCTTAGATCCTACTAGCGGTGTTATAAAATAGTATAATCTCGAGAACAAGATGAAAATATGTAAGAATAAATAAAAAATCATACCTTTTGATGTAAGAACAATGTTTAATGAATTACATCTTTAAAATTTTTTTTTTTTGAGACAAAGTCTTGCCCTGTTGTCCTGGATGGAGTGCAGTGGTATCTCAGCTCACTGCATCCTCTGCCTCCCAGGTTTAAGCAATTCTCTTGCCTCAACCTTCTGAGTAGTGGGGATTTCAGGTGCACGTCACCACACCTCCCTAATTTTTGTATTTTTAGTAGAGATGGGGTTTTGCCATGCTGGCCAGGCTGGTCTCAAACTCCTGATCTCAAGTGATCCACTTGCCTTGGCCTCCCAAAGTGCTGGGATTCATGAGCCACGATGCCAGGCCCCAAACCCACAAGCTTTTAACTCTAGAGCTTTCATTCATATCTCTTGCATTCCAATATATTTCTTCTGTTCACTGTCCTCATGCTTTTCAATTAGTTAAGCATAAAATGTGGGAAGACAGAGCTAATGTCTTTGAGAACATAGCTGTTGTTATGTTTTCAATTTTTCTCAGTTTCCTTAGATTTCAGATATGTAGGGTCATGGCCCATTGTTTCTATCCAATAAATAGTTATAATATCCATGAAAATAGCATTATATGGTAGAA